CCTAACATCGCTCCCATCCACCTCAAACCGCGCCGAGTGCCATTTGCACTCAAACCTAAAATAGATGAGCAATTAAATAAGCTCATAGCGCAAGGCGTATTAGAACCTATCGACCATGCCCGCTGGGAAACACCAATTGTTACCCCCATCAAACCAGATGGCTCCCTGAGAATTTGTGGTGACTACAAGGCCACCCTCAACCATGCCCTGCAGCAGAGTGCCTACCCCGTGCCAATAGTCCAGCATCTCCTACACTCACTGGGGGGGTGGCAAAATCTTTGCAAAGCTCAACCTGGCACAAGCCTATCAACAACTGCCGGTCGATGCTGAAACCGCTGAAGCTCAAACAACTGTGACACATCGAGGGGCATTTAAATGCAACTGACTCCAATTTGGAGTCAGTGTCGCACCTGGGCTTTTCCAAAGCCTAATGGAACGACTGCTGCAAGGAATTAAAGGAGCCGTACCCTATTTCGACGATGTTTTAGTAGCAGCCCCCAATAAAGAACAATTGGAAAAACGACTGAGAGCAGTCCTACAAAAATTTAAAGACTCCGGACTCAAAGTAAAAAAAGAGAAGTGCCAATTATGTACTGAACGGGTTGAATTCCTCGGATACCTCCTTGATAAAAAAGGAATTCACCCTACTGACAAAAAATTAAAAGCCATCAAAGAAGCCCCCAGGCCGAAAAATAAGATGGACCTTCAAGCCTTCGTTGGACTCATTAATTTCTATAATATTTTCCTACCCCAGAAAGCGACTGTCACGGAACCCTTGCATAGACTCCTGGACAAAAAGGCATCCTGGATATGGGGACGGCAAGAGGAACACGCTTTGCAACAAATAAAAAACCTTTTGACTTCAGACACAGTCCTCATTCAATATAACGAAACCCTTCCACTAACTGTTACTTGCGACGCGTCACCTTTCGGTGTGGGGGCAATCCTAAGCCACACCTTGCCAAATGGAACAGAGGCTCCCATTGCATTCTTCTCCAGAACCCTGTCCAAGCCAGAGAGGAACTACAGCCAGCTGGATAAAGAAGCCCTCACCATCGTCTCCACAGTGAAAAGATTCCACAAATACATTTATGGTAGGACTTTTTCAATTATTATGGACCACAAACCCCTACTTGGCATTTTGGCTGGTAACAAACTTACTCCACACATCCTGTCACCTAGAATGACAAGATGGTCTGAATTTCTTGCCGCTTATAATTACCAATTAATACGTCGACCTGGCAAAACTATCTCGCACGCCGATGCCTTAAGCCGCTCCCCCCTACCAGACGTGCAAGATGACCCAGCACCCACATTATCAATTTTACAAATAGAAACAGTAGCCATGCCACCGTTGACCGCGCAAGACGTTGCCCGCGAAACCAGAAGGGACAAACACTTGGCGCGAGTTCTCAGCTGGGTGGAAAGGGGTTTGCCAGAAAGCAAAAAAACCGAACTCTTCAAACCGTTTAAAAACCGACAAACTGAACTTTTTTCCCAGAGGGGGTATATCCTTTGGGGAGACCGGGTAATAATACCGGAAACATTACAAAAAACAGTTTTGAATATGCTGCACGATGAGCACCCAGGCATTGTTCGCATGAAAGCCCTGGCCAGGAGCTATGCTTGGTGGCCGGGCATGGACAAACAAATTGAAACCTGGGTCGCCGCTTGCAGTAGATGCCAAGAGACTCGCTCGCCCCCCCCAAAGGCTCCACCATTAGAATGGGAGACCCCCAGAGGCCCTTGGTCACGCATCCATACTGACTTTGCTGGGCCAACCAAAGGGCATACCTTTTTGATCACTGTTGATGCTTATTCGAACTGGCTCGAAGTGAGCAAAATGAAAACAACCACCACAGAAGCTGTCACCAAGAAATTAAACAAACTCTTCGCCACGCGTGGTCTGCCAGATGTGATAGTATCTGACAATGGCCCCCAGTTTACCGCATTGGCATTCGAGCAGTACTTGGCAGACTGTGGCATCCGACATGCATTGACATCACCAGCTCACCCAGCGGCGAATGGGAGAGCTGAACGCATGGTTCAATTTACAAAAAAAAAATCTTCAAAAAATTGAACATGGCAACATCCACAAGAAAATCACCAAAATGCTTCTAATACAACACATCACACCCAACACCACTACCAACAAAAGCCCAGCAGAATTGCTCATGGGCAGAAGACTCCAGTCACCTCTAGATTGCCTGCACCCTGCTTACACCGCAGAGAAACCCCTGGGATCCAGCAGCAAATACCGTGCCTTTAATGTAGGAGACACTGTTTTCGCGAAAATCTTTACCGGGGACCCACTATGGCTTCCTGCAAAAATCACCCAAATCACTGGCCCTCGCTCCTACCGGCTCGAGACCATTGACGGTAGGAGTTGGAAACGCTGGCACATTGACCAGCTAAGGTCCAGGCTGGCCACCCTTCCCCTCACAGACTCTAACCAAGAAATCAGGGGGGGGGGACCTCAAACACTGAAAAAGAACCGGTACCTGTGAAAGCGGAACACCTCCCACACACAGTCAATAAAAGTCAAACATTAAACCAACAATACTTACCAGCCAGCAAGGAACCGTGGCAGACGGGTACTTCGCCTGGAAGCAGCAGCCGGACTAGCTCCACCAGCCCAGAGAACCCAGGCGGGAGCAGCAGAGCAAACGACTCGACTGACCCGGAGTCACCAGGTGGGAGTCGCAGCTGGAGGCCCGGCTCACCCTTCCAGGCGGTTCCATCGAGAAGCTTGAGAGCGACGCGGAGCCCATCCGAGCCTGACGACGACCAGAGACATTATGAACCGCGCAAGTCAAGTAGGCAGGTCCATAGGCCCGCCTACTTACGTAACTACGTCACCCCGCCCCTTGGACAGAACCAAGAGGGGAGGGGTGTTCCATATTAGCCGGCTTGAAGACCTGCATTCCTATTGGTCCAGAAAAGCCGGACCGTGATTGGACATCTTAAACACCCCTGATTGGCTCGAATAGGGCTTGCCACGATTGGCTACAACCAAGCGCGGCAAACTCAAAGGACTGTCATTGGCTGCCTAGCCGCGGCCAGCTCTATAAGAAGAGCTGCTGCGCGCTAGGGTTTTTCGTCTCAGAATTCGTCCTGTTAAATAAAGAGCTGTTTGTTCACTACTCAAGCCTCGTTATTATGGGACCCACTGACCATACTTAACACTAGGGAAGAGAAGGACCAGGGGAGACATGATAGAGGTCTTCCAATATTTGAGGGGCTGCCACAGAGAGGAGGAAGGGGTCAAGCTATTTTCTAAAGCTCCTGTAGGCCAGACAAGGAATAATGGATGGAAACTGAACAAGGAGAGATTTAACCTGGAAATAAGGAGAAACTTTCTGACAGTGAGAACAATCAACCCATGGAACAGCTTTTGCCTTCGGAAGTTGTGGGAGCTCCATCACTTGAGACCTTCAAGAAGAGATTGGACTGCCATTTGTCAGAAATAGTGTAGGGTCTCCCCTGCTTGGGTGGAGGGTTGGACTAGATGACCTACAAGGTCCCTTCCAACTCTGATTATCTGTTATCTGTTAACATATCATTTAACACTCTGTTTGCCTAGTGATGGTATTTTGTCAGAAAGATATTATTGTATGGTCCCAAAATGTACTTGAGTCACCAGAATGCCAAAGAGAGAGACTCAAGAAGAGGCTTGGAAAAAAATATCTGCTTTAATTTGTACAAAGAAGAGCAGGGTAGACATTCCACAACATACAGGCAAAGAGCACGCAGTGAAAGGCCACACCTTGGTGTCCTTTTATAGCTTCAGAGACATCAGCTTAGTACCCAATTCTGCCCCCTCTGGCCCAGGCCTTCCTTTGGCAGTGCAAGGAACAGCGAGGGTTGAGTGCTTAGCAACAGAGGGGCTGGATGCTTGGCAACACAGGTATTTGCTCAACGACACCCTGCTTCTTGTCTGAGATATGCACCAGGTGCAGGGTTGTACAGAAAAACAAGACGACAGAAATTAGATCACTTGTAGAAGCAAATGACAGAGACAATTCCAATTCTTAGCAAAGCAATTGTCACAGAAGCAAAATAGCAAGTCAAACCAATTCTACTGACTCTACTATTATATCCCACTAATCCTACCATGTTTCTGACAAAATAAGGCCAGGACTTTTTTTTTTCACCCCCTGAAAAAACAGCTAGGCCTTCTTTTCGGGGGAGACTTAATTTCCTCCCCCACTTAGAGCGGCCCGTATGCATGTACCTCGCCGAGAGGCCGCTTCTATCGGCCGACGAAAGCTCTCAGAAGGCAGAGTCCCCAGCTGCTTCAGGGCGTGGCATGGCTGCTCATGTCCCCTCACCTTTAGGCAGTCTCTTTTGGACGATGGATGCTCCCCAGGTGCAGTCACCAGCCACTTCGATCAGCCGGTAGAAGCAGCCTCAGGGCGAGCGCACACACACACTCCCCTCGCCACGAGGCAGCTTCTTTCGGCAGACGAAAGCTCCCTTGAAGGCAGAGTCCCCAGCCACTTCAGGGCGAGGCGTGGCTGCCCGTGTCCCCTCGCCATTAGGCAGTCTCTTTCAGGCAATGGAAGCTCCCAAAATGCAGTCACCAGCCACTTCGATCACCGGTAGAAGTGGCCTCGGGGCGAGGGGAGTGTGTGTGTGCGCTCGCATCCTACAGCATTTTAACCACAGCTCTCAGTGCCAACCAGACTCCTCACTCTTCACAACCTCTCACACTCAACGTATCACACACACACAAGCTGGCTTCATCCATTGGCCAGGATTTAAAAATGGTCTTTGTGTATACATTCTTTCCTTTCCTTTAATACTGCTAAGTTCATGCTGTTGCTTACAGGGTCAACAATCTAACAATCTAAAATTATTATGAAGAATAGGTTGAGTTTGTCATTCAATAGGCCTTAGTATTTCAAATAATTTATCTGTGTTTCAGAACCTGACACTGGCCCTTGTTTCCACAGCGCAGTTTTCTCTCACCTTGGATGTTGGGATGATTTGTCAAGAGAAGCAGCGCCCACATCAGAGTAGTGAAAGTTGTCTCTGTTCCAGCACCAAAAAAATCCAAAATACACTGAGCCGGGTTCTCTTCATTGTAGGTAGAGTTGGGATCATTCCTGCTCTGATGTTTAAAATGGAAAAAAAAAAAATTACAATTATTTCTATGCAGATTTTTTGTTAATACTTTTCTTCTATGTCACAAGTCATGCGAAGAATAAATACATTCTTGGTGGTTATATAGGAAGATCAATGCAGGAGAGTAAAAAATTAAAGTGGCAGATTCACAATGTGTAAGACCCTATCTTAAAGCAGCCCAGATCACACAGAGAGGTTCAGCTTTGGAAGAATTTGAATGCATTTTATTCTATTTTATGGTTGGTTACTTCAGGAAATGTTTGACAATGTGAATAAAGTACTGTAGTCAACCAGCAAAATGGGTGAACATGATTTACTTGGACTTTAGTAAGGCCAAAGTAGATCACAACCTACTACTTGATAAGATAGAACAACGTGGGTTCCACAGCATCGCCACCAGATGGATTCATAATTGGTTGATCAATCACATTCAACATGTAGTCCTTAATGGAACTGCATCTACATGGAGGAATGTATGCAGAGGAGAACCTCAAGCCTCTATCTGAGGCCCAACACTCTTCAATATTTCATGAACGATTTAGATGAGGCGATAGAAGGTGAACTCATTAGATTTGCAGGTGGCACCAAGCTGGCAGGAATAGCCAACATTCCAGAAGATAGGCTTAAGATCCGGAAAGATCTTGACAGACTTAAATATTGGACCCTATCTAACAAAATGAAATTCAGTGGTAATATGGGATTCCTTGCTAGTTTTGAAATAAACAATCACCAGCCAAAACTCCCAGGAGAAACAATGGTAATTTTATTTACTACTTTGCACATGAGGGTACTGTGGACATACCTTAAATCATCAATATGTTTTCTTTATATACCCTATTGCTGTTGCAAATTTACTTCCCACCTTTTCCTCATTGGCTCATAGGCCGTCACACCCTATCTAAAGCATCTATAGTTAATACATTATCTCCACCCCTGATTACATCTCCCATTACTCTATTTCTATCACCTCTTGTCCTTATTTGCAAATTACCTTTTATGGTACTGGTTCTAGGGGTTGTCTCTAGAATAACTATTATATCAGTGAATTCTGGTTAAGACTGGTTTCTAGCATAGTACAGGCCTTCCTACATACAATTCTCAAGCTTCAGCCTAGCTCACGAGATTAGAAGTACATACCAGAGGTGGTATTCGGCAGGTTCTGACCAGTTCTGGAGAACCGGTAGCGGAAATTTTGAGTAGTTCGGAGAACCAGCATATCCCACCTCTGACTGGCCCCACCAATCCCATCTATTCTCTGCCTCCTGAGTCCCAGCTGATTGGCTGGGTCTCCTTTTGTTGCCTTGCACAGGAGAACGGAGCTGGAAAGCAGGTTAGTGGGGTGGGGAGGAAATGGGGATTTTGCAGTATTCCTCGCCTGCCATGCCCACCAAGCCATGCCATGCCATGCCTACCAAGCGATACCCACAGAACCAGTAGTAAAAAAATTTTTTGAATCCCACCACTGGTGCATACAATGTATTTTCTTCACAGGCTAACATGTCTTCTTACAGTTCTGTAAAAGCAATAAGCTCTTTTTCCTCACAGTGAGAAAAATATGGTTCTATATTTAGGGAAGAAAAGCACAGAGATAGAATGAAGGGTATCTGGCTCAATAGTTGTAACTGTGAGAGGGAGAAGATACAATAAGGATCATAAGTGGATGCATAAAATCTACTCCTGCTTGCTGTCTCTCTGTCTTGAGCCACATTGCACCACCAGCTCTACGAAGGCAGGAAGCCCCAGCAAAGGAGTACAACAAAATCATGAGAAACTCACTTCTTCCTGTGCACTCTGATCTTCCTCATCTATCAATTGGCAGGCTTAAATCCAGGAAGCCCTCTCTGGCACTCGCTCAACAACTGTCTAACAACTTTGACATCAACTCACAGTGGAGAGCCAAATGGGCTGCTGAACGCCCAGATACAGGCAGTAACATACCAGTGGTGGGATTCAAATATTTTTACCACCGGTTCAGTGGGCTTGGCTTGGTAGGTGCACTTTGCACATGTGCACACACTTTGCGTATATGTGTGCACCAAATGTGCACTTTGTGCAGGCGCAGAGGCATTTGCGCAGGCGTAGAGGTGTTCTAACTCACCTCCTGCGAGCCTGCATTCTCCCGGTCGCTTCAGCAGCTGCCGTGCAGCACTCTGCAGTGCCGCGCAAAGCATCTGCGCTTCAAATTCAGAGGATAAAGGTAAGTATGGGAGCCCAGGAAGGCGGCTGGACCCAACAGCAGAGCAACGGAGAGAACTGGTTCAGTCTCCGCTGCTCATTGACGCTACCAGCTCGGCAGAACTGGGCCGAACTGGTAGAAAACCACCACTGTTACATACAGTGGTGCGATTCAACCGGTGTAACAACCGGTTCTGTTAGCATGCACTTTGCACACATGCTCTACACTTTAAAAAGCCCATTTTCAACTCAATGACTTACTTTCTGCTGCGTCCTTGGTGAGTAAAACAGCTGATGCACAGCAAACCGCTCTGCTGTGTGAATCAGCTGTGCTAAAAAAAACCAGGAAATAAAGTACAGGAAATAGCATGGGCAGGTGGGAGGGTCCAAATGCTTGCCAGAACTGCCAGTTTGCCCAAACTGATCCAAACCGGTAGAATCCCACCCCTGGTTATACAGATGACCCTCCTCAAAAGGTGCCAGGTTTTGACCTTCCTCGCTAGCGTCGGTCAACTCTGAACAGATCCGTACCCAACATAGTGTCTGCCAGGACTCATTGTTTAAGTGAGATCTTGTCTCTCTACCTCCTCAGTGTGATTGTGGTGCTCCTCAACAAAATATCCATCACATTGTGTCCGAATATCCATCAAGAGCTTACACCGGCCCTATGTCTGTTTTTTTTCAACATAGACCACCCTGTTCTTGAATGGCTGGTTGTACTGGACATTAACATTTGAACCAGTAAAAGTCCATGTATTTTCCATATGTTAAAAAAGAAATAAATGTAAAAGGGATCCTGGAGTCCTAGTGGACAATCACTTAAATAGCTAACAGTTTGCTGCAGCTGCCAAAACAGTTAATGCAATTGTTAAGTTTGAGCAATGAGAGGCTGAACCAGAGCATGAGTGCAACAATACTTTATTATAACAATAAAGGGCTGACCGTGCTTGCCACGCCAGGAACTGGCTCGCAGCAATCAGCGACTGGTTGGACCCCGCAGCCTGCTTTTATAGCTGGCTGCTGGGGGGAATCAACCAATGAGGAAAGGGGTAATAACGCCCACACTAAGTGAGTGGACCTGAGTGAGAACTCCTAGAGTCCTCAGGACATAACACCCCTTCCCCCCAGATGCGAACATGCATAGTCCTTGAGGTAGACGGGGGGTTTGTGTTGGCGCCCGGAACGGCGCAGCTCGGGAGCATTGTCTGTCTGTTCAGAATCAGTCTGTGACGGTTGAGCGGGCAGTGTGTCGCCAACGCGCTCATCGGATTGGGCATCCTCGGGACTCACAGGGTTGGATACTGGGGGTGAGTTCCCTTGGGCTGGATCAGGCTGGTCAACTCTCGGGGCGCCGTTGTCCGAGTTCGGGCTGACCGGAACGGCTGTTGGTGCGGACTGGACGTTGGGTGCGATGAGGCTGAGAGGCGGATGAGGCGGTTCCCCTTCGTCTGGTGATTCTGGATTTCTGCTGGCAAGGGTGCTGTGGCGCCTCCGCAGTTGGTCTATGTGCCTCCTCCAGACGCGACCATCCTCCAGCCTGACCCTATACGATCTTGGCCCGGTGATGGCGATGACTACGCCTGGCATCCATAGTGGGTCCCCGGCGAAATTCCTCGCGAATACAGGCTCCTGTAACATAAAATGTCTAACCCCCGAAGTGGAAGCAAGGGGAGAGTCAGGGCAGTAATGTGGGTGAAGTCTGTCCAATACAGTCCTCAGGCGCCGGCCCATCAGGAGCTCCGCTGGGGACTTATTGGTGACTGAACAGGGGGTTGAGTGCTGGCTCATCAGGAACCGTGAGAGTTTGTGGTGCCAGTCATCCCTGCTGAACCTGGCGAGGGCTTCTTTGGTGGACCTGACGGCTCTTTCCGCCAACCCATTACTGGCAGGGTGAAATGGGGCTGTGAAAATGTGGCGGATGCCCAGGTTGGCAGCAAAATGGCTGAACTCTATAGATGCGAACTGTGGGCCATTATCGGAGACGATGGAGTCGGGTAGCCCGTGCGTAACGAACAGGCGCGTTAACACGTTGGTGATTGCTAGTGTGGTGGTCGTGGATAGCTGTGCTACATCAATCCATTTGGAATAAGCATCCACGACCACTAGGAACATCTTCCCATGCAAGGGGCCGGCCAGATCGATATGGATTCTAGACCAAGGGCCGCTGGCGCTCTCCCATCTGGTAGGGGTGGCAATGGGGGGAGCAGGATGGGATTCCTGACAGATGTTGTCTTACCCAATTGACAATGTCCTCGTCTAGACCCGGCCACCATACGTAGCTGCGTGCTAATGCTTTCATTCTCACGATGCCAGGGTGTCCTTCGTGCAACACCTCCAGGACTCAGGTACGCAGCGAGGTCAGAATGACCACTCGAGTGCCCCATAGTAGACAACCCTGCAAACTTGACAGCTCCTGCATGCGAGTCTTAAATGGAGTTAATTTGTTATCAACGATGCCACCTGGCCACCCCCTCCGCACTCAGTCGAGCACCTGGGCGAGCGTTTGGTCTGCCTTGGTTTTGGCAGCGATGTCAAGGGCGGTGATGGGCAGGTCCAACTGGGTGATCTCGAAAATGGCGTTGACAGGAGCGGGGTCTTCAGCTGGAGCGGGTAAGGGGCAGCGACTGAGAGCGTCGGCATGGGACAGTGTTTTGCCTGGGCGGTGAATAAGTTTGTAGGAGTAGGCCGCTAGGAATAGTGTCCACCTTGTCATTCTAGGGGAAAGGACCTGAGGGGTCTGTTTGTCCCCGGCCAGTAGGCCCAGGAGGGGCTTATGGTCCGTGACCAGTTCGAAAGAATGGCCAAAAAGGAATTCGTGAAACTTTTTCACGGCCGCAACAGCTGCTAGGGCTTCCTTGTCGATCTGGCTGTAATTGCGTTCCATGGCCGAGAGCGTTCTTGAGAAAAAGGCGATGGGAGCCTCGGCGCCATTTGGAAGTCTGTGACTAAGGACCGCCCCAATTCCAAAAGGGGATGCGTCTGCTGCCAGTACTAAAGGAAGGTTAGGGTCGAATTGGATAAGCACCGCCTCTGACGTGAGTAGTGATTTGACGGCGTTAAACGCCTGGTCTTCTTTGTGCCCCCAGTGCCATGGTGACTGTTTGTCCAATAATCTGTGAAGGGGTTCGGCTACTGAGGCTTTGTGGGGCAAGAAGGATGCGTAAAAGTTCAGCAGCCCCAAGAAGGCTTGCAGCTCCGTTTTGGAGGTTGGAGTGGGAGCCTCGTGGATTGCCCTGACCTTGGACTCCAGGGGGTGAATGCCAGAGGCGTCAATTTTATAACCCAGAAAGTCCACCTGTCTAGTGGCAATGGCGCATTTTTCTTTTTTTAACTTGAGGCCATGCTGTCTGAACCTCTCTAACACCGCTCGCACTCTCTGGAAAAGTTGGGGTCTGTCCCTGGCCAAGACCAAGATGTCGTCGAAGTAGGGTACTACACCAGGGAGGCCCTGTAAAATCCGTTCCATGAGGGACTGAAAAATCCCTGGGGCAACACTTACGCCAAATTGGAGACGCTTGCATCGGAAGGCACCCCTGTGCGTGACGATGGTCTGGAGTTCCGCTGTTTGGTTATCAACAGGGAACTGCTGATACGCTTGAGACATGTCCAATTTAGCGAAAATACTGCCCGGCTCGAATGTGTGCAATAAGTGCTGAATGACGGGCACAGGGTAGGCGCTAACTTGTAAATATTTATTGATTGTTGTCTTTTAGTCCGAGCAAATTCTCAGGCTACCATCTTTTTTGAGGGGTGTGACGATGGGCGTCTCCCACTTGGCGAAATCTGTTGGCTCAATGACCCCTTGTTTTAATAGTTTATCTAATTCAGCGTCTAGTTTTGGTCGAATAGCAAATGGGACTCTACGCGGTTTTAGTCTGATTGGGACTGCCTGGGGGTCAACTGTGAATGAGATGGGGGTTCCGTTATAACACCCCAGCTCTTCGCTGAACACATCTGCGAAATCAGCGAATAAGGAGTCAGTGTCTAAGGTTGAGACAGCATGGACTCCTGTTAGCCCTAGGCCGAGGTGGGGAAACCAATCGAGCCCCAATAAGGTGGGTAAATTGCCGTTAACTACCACTAGAGGTAGGTGACCTTTAAAAGTTCTAAAACTGACAAAAAACTTGCCTCTGCCGATCACAGGAATGGTCTTCCCCTGGTAGTCCTTCAGGCCGAACTCGCATCTTTGAAGCCGAGTGGCAGATAGGCTGGGGTGGAGTCTCTTGAGGGTGTTCCACGAAATTATTGAGAGCGCTGACCCTGTGTCAACCTCCATGTGGCACGGTTTACCTTCTAGGGAAACGGAGAGAGAAATTTTACTAACAGTGTGGCAAGTACGCTTGGCAAGGCGGTGCGTGCGACAGTTTAATACTTGCCTCTGAGGTCCCGAGTGCGAGGGAGGGAGTCTGTGTGCAGCGCTTTGGGGGGTTTGGCAGACTCTCGCGATGTGCCCCCTTTTATGGCAGTTGTTACAGGTGGCTCCTTTAAACTTGCAGGTGGCCCTTTGATGCGATCCCCCACAGGATAGGCACAGTGTGATGTGCTTGGGTGGACCGGTGTTTTCTTGTTTGGCCCCTACCTGCGGCCGTTTGTCGTAGGCGAGGCGGTGGACATCGTTTTCGTCGTTGAGGGTTTCCTCTGCTACCACCTCCTCGGAATGGACTGGGAACGATGCCAGCTTGGCGCTTGGGCCCTGTATTTCGGTGGCTGAGTTCGTTGCCAGCTCGGCTGCCAGGGCCTCCTCGACCGCTTGTGCGAGGTTGAGGTCTTTTTTTGCTAGAAGGCGCCTCTGTAGGTTGAGGTCCTTGACCCCACAAACTAATTGATCGAGGAGCATGTCCTCCAGGTATGTTCCAAACCCGCAGTGCAGAGCTGCTGTTCTGAGGGCGGCCATATATTGATTGATGGTCTCCTTACTCGATTGCTTCCTCATTCGAAAAGTGAACCTCCTGGCGATCTGTGAAGGCCTGGGAGCGTAGTGGTTAGTGAGGATCTCAAGCAACTCGGACCACGGGACGTTTTTCAACTCTCTAGGGGCTACGAGTGCTGCGGCAGTATCGTAAACGGTGGCTCCGCAGTAGATTAGGAAATAGGATTTTTTCCGATGCTCTCCCGCATCTGCCAGGCCGACCGCATCGATGTAATGGTTGAAGCGGTTCTTATACGATTCCCACTTCTCTTCGTCTGGCTTGAACGCCGGGAATACTGGGTTGGAACTCATGGTGCTGGGAGCGGCTGGGCTACCTGTAGAAAAAATCTCTCTGGGGACAACGGGTGCTCGTGGGTTGCAAGTGAAATCAGCTCTGGAGAGGGTTTTTTGCTATCCTCTCTTTCTCTCTGGGTTAACCACGTTGGCTGTTAGCCGTTGGAGGTGTCTAGATTCACGCCAGCGTGGGCGTTAGTGACTTACTACAGCGCTGTGCTGTGTCTCTCTTGGTTTGAAATTCAAATGACACCCGTTTGAATTTCGCGCCTAATACTGAGCGACTGCGGCTCGCAGCGCTTCGCTTTACCCGTAGCTGGGCTAACAAGCGGCTACAGACGCTTCTAACTTTTGAACCAGACCGCTCTCTCTGGCTGCGGATCAACGTTCGCTCTTTTTGTCGGCTGGCCGCTCTCTCTGGCTGCGGTCAGCGTTTCTCTTGTAGTCGGCCGATCGCTCTCTCTGGGTTGCGGATCGGTGACTAGTGACTCAGCGGTTGCAAGGTGCTTCTGGTAGCCATCCCATCCTCGTCACCAGTGTTAAGTTTGAGCAATGAGAGGCTGAACCAGAGCATGAGTGCAACAATACTTTATTATAACAATAAAGGGCTGACCGTGCTTGCCACGCCTGGAACTGGCTCGCAGCAATCAGCGACTGGTTGGACCCCGCAGCCTGCTTTTATAGCTGGCTGCTGGGGAGAGCCAACCAATGAGGAAAGGGGTAATAACGCCCACACTAAGTGAGTGGACCTGAGTGAGAACTCCTAGAGTCCTCAGGACATAACAGCAATCATAGGCTGCATACACATAAGGATAAAATCAAGAACATGTGAAGACACTTCCAGTAGTTCTCCTTGTTTATTTATGTTGAGGGAGGGGTGTAATAATTCCTTTCTCATGTATTGAACCACAATTAACCCAAACCTACTCCATCTGAAGCAGACAGCGGTCAGTGAAATCTTGTGGCTCATGCAGAGAGTGAGATTCTTTGTGTTTCTCTATTTCCTGCTTTGCAAAGGAGAGGATCAGCTCTCTAGAAGCCAGGGCCTCCTTATGAAGGCCTGGGAGGTACTTCATTATTTGTGGAAACAATCCATACATCTAATGGAAAAAGGAAAAAAGAATTATTTATTTTGCTCCAGAATTAGCTCATCATTACAAACCCAATAAAACATGGCAAACAATATGGTGTCAGACTTCAAAAGCCTTCCAGAAAAGCTGTTTATAAATTCTTGTGGAAAACAGATAATGTTGGAGGCAAATAGATTATTATAAAGCTACTATAAAATACTCTTATTCTATAAAATCTTTTTATTCTCTCATTGTCTCCAGGAGACTTTGTAAATATTGTTACCTGTGGCTAACTGAGCCACGAGGTAATAAATTAGACCAGCTGGAGTCACATGCCTGCCAAATAATGCATTAACTACATTTCTTGAACTTTCATTGTCTGCTAGCTTGTGATCTAGTATAGTGGTCGCCAACCGGTGGGCTCCCAACCATGAGAAAATTTTGGTGGTCTGCAGAGATATGTCTCCCCCAAAGCACCCTACCAAAGCAATTAATCCAGGCTGCATGGAAACACAAGGCTGCGCAGTCCACATGGCCTGCCTACCCACTGGCACCCACCTTTTGGCCAAGTGCAAACCTTACCTTGTGTAGAGCCACATGAACTGGAACTGAAAGGTAAGACCAATGGCGGGGGGAGGGAAATCTGCCCCGGGGTAGCTTGCTGATGTTGGTGGGAAAGTCGGTCCCATATTCCAGAGATGCAGTAGTCACAGGACTTTGGTCATCCTGGAGCAGCTGCTTTTCCACCCGGGTGCACCGGCTTGCCATGGACTGGAGGAGCTGCTCTGGGATGACCAAAGGACCAGTCACGTGACTACTGCAGCTCTGGAATATGGGACTGGCCTGTGGTGGGTTTGGAAATCTCCATCATAGGGGGTGACACATGTAATGTGCAAATTTGTGGGTAGTGCAATGTGCAAAAAGCAGCACAGCCTTCGCCGGCCAGGACAAGGGTAATGGTGCTGTTGCAGCAAGAGGGGGGCGGCGGCACAGGCGGGCCGAAGTGGCGATGGAGATGGCTGGAAGGTGTGAGAGCGCTGCGCTACTTGCATTTGTGTGGCATCAGCATTCCGCCTTTACTCGAGGAGCCTGGGCAAAGTTTCCCACGCCACTCGCACTTCAGTGGTTTGATTCCCAGGGACAGGAGTTCAGCCAAGTACCTGCAAAATCAAGGAGCGTTCATAGAAGCGTGGGAGATTTCAGCCAGGCTCTTGAGAGATGAGCGTGACACCAGCTGCTTCTCTCTGTGAGCACTCCTCAAGAGAGAGACAATTTTGGAGATAGCCTGGCCGAACTCCTGTCCCTGGGAGTCAAAGCACTGAAATGGGAAACTTTGGCCAGGCTCTCAAGAGATGAGAGTGACTCCGGCTGCTTCTCACCATTAACAGGTGGCCAAGCTATCTGCAAACTGTTGGCCGCTCCTCGAGAAAGACGATTAGTACACCTTTGGGACAGCCATGACCTGGATGACTGACAATCTCCATAATCGTAAAACATATTTGTAAAATCAAGTCCAATCACACAATGACTCGTGTGATGCGTTATGACAGAAACAATTTACAACCAAAATTCAGGACTCAATTATGCTTGTGCAGTGTATAAGTGTTAAAAGGAACAATTGGAAGCAGTACAAGGAACTGACCCAGGAAGTGGTGGATGAGAGGTGTTAAAATATGGCATGGTTGGCCATCTGCTGGTGATGCTAAAAGCATGGATTACTTCATGGGCAGAAGGACTTTGGTATTGTGGTTAATGCATCAGTCCTAGAAACTAAGAAACTCTGAGTACTAGTCCCTAAGTCAAATGGAAACATAATTGGTTTGAGAGCTTTATCCCTTTAGTAGAAAACATGACTCACAATATGGAAAAATTCACCAGTGAAATTCACAATAATTTTAAGGGCATGAGTTAGTTTCTGGAAGTTTTCATCTTCATGAGCAAATTGATGTCCAAAACTCAAAGCACATATGATGTTACAAATTGCATTTAGGACCAGGAGTGATGGGTCAAATGGCTGTCCTGAAAATGAAGAGATTTTATAATGAATTTTAAAGGAACAGGTAACTGCACCAAACTTGATTGCAGAAAATACGACTTCAGCAACAGAGTGGTCAATGTTTGGAATACTCTTCCTGACTCTGTGGTTTCTTCCCCAAACCCCAAAAACTTTAACCTTAGACTGTCTACTATTGACCTCACCCCTTTCCTAAGAGGTCTGTAGGGGGCCTGCATAAGCGCACCAACGTGCCTACCATCCCTGTCCTATTGTTTTTTTTATTTTTCTTATAAGTATCCATCTCATGTATTCAAACTATGTTTATTCTTATACCTGTATCTTGTAAGCAATTGACAAATCAAATAAATCAAATAAAAAAATAAAGTAAGGGAATGTAGGAAGAGACTTAGGAACTCTGCCAATTATTTCAAGAAAATTAAAAAAAATCATATTAAATGCATTTGTTTTTCAAAACTTTTTGCAGACAGAGATTTGAGTCATTACCCCAAATTACATACCTTTTGTTTGTCTAAAGACCTCCACCAGTGTCTGAGCTCCATCTTCTATTTGATGCTGAATGCTTTTCTTCCCCAGGCCGAGTGTCTGCAGAGAAGTGACGCCAATGCGTCGCTGCTGTTTCCAGGTGAGGCCATTGGAGAAAATAATTCCTGAAGGCATCAAGAAACAGTTATAAATGACTCCTGATACAATTCACATTAAAAAAAATAGGTGTGGTTGCATTATCTGAATTTCAGGTGGGAATGTGATATCCTTCTGACATACTGTCCTTTTGTAAAATCATGGCCACGTTATTATTTTCTTTAAAAAATATTTAACCATTTTGGAAGTCACATAGATACCGGGAGACACACGTGGTTGGGTGACTAAGCTAAACTATCCTAACAAAACCTAATTCTTGTACATGGACATACTCACAAGTATAGAGGGTTGTCTAACCTCACTGGAGCAGAGTGAAGGGGAATCCACCCTCTCTCTGGTGAAATGATTCCATTATCAAATCTTACCATTTATTGGCAAGATTGAGCTAGAATCTGTCTTCTACTAATTCAACCCCATTATTTTACCTGCCGCTCTGTGAAACGATAGTAAGTAGGTCTTGGCTTGAATATTCTGGCATTATGCGGAAGATAACTAATCAGGTGTTATCACCACCATTTGATTAACTACTTTTCTCATCATGTAAGAATATTTTACTAAATTAATTCATTTGTCTGTACTATTGGTACAAAAAAAAACCCCTGAGAATCATTTTGCATATTACTGGATGATTATTTAGAATGAAATACCTTAAAGAAATAATCTTCACGAAGCCAAAACCCACAAGGTGCCAATGAGAGGTAGAGCCAAAGGATCAGGAGGCAAATGTCTTTGGGACCAGAGTTGTTTCAGGAAGAACAAAACCAACAGAGCAAGAAGCAAAACAAAGAGAAATATCCCTATTGCCATCATCCTTCTGCTGCTTCTTTATCTTTGAGAATTTCTGGTCAATCTGGAGGTGGATGTATCCTTTTCACCCGATGCTTTTTGCTTTTCTTTCTATTTTACCTATTCCACTGATGGGAAACAAATAACCACGTGTCTTTTGATGCTCATCTGTCTGATTAGTGCTGGTGCTTTGTCAACAAGATATTAACACATTAATTTGGGTTAATAGGTTACCTCTGACTACAATGACATGCAAATAACAGAGGAAGAAATTTAGCAATAAAAATAAAAAGAAGACCTGTGAATCCCATAGGTGCTCTTTCTAAAACATAAAATGGAATTTCTTGGTTTTTTGCTTGAAACCATTTCACTTCTCACCCAAGAAGGTTCTTCAGTTCTAATTGATGGGTGGGGAATGGGATTTCACAAAAAAACCCCACCATAATACAAAAAAAACATCTTTTTTTTTGAGAATAGCATGATCACAAGTTGTCACTTCTTCATACAGACCCAAACTCAATTTCATGTTCATCTTTGTGTTCTATTCTATGTCTTATTACTGTTTAACATTTTCTACATAGTTTTTCCCCTCCTTTGATTTTCTCAACTTTATTTTTAATTATCTCATATCTCAATTCAAAACATTATATTTGTACTTTTGTCTGTTCTGTTTCAATTTCATATTATCTTTTCTCATTAAACAAATTTTCCCCTGTAGTTACTAATTGGAGTATGACACCTTTATATCTTTTGATTTTGTCCATTCAATTCTTATTTAAACTTCAATGTATACCTTTAAGATTATAACATTCGATATAATACATAACTTCCAATCAAATTCTGCTTGGTACATTCTTAAAATACACACTATATCCTTAAAAAATTATATATATATATATATA